AGGACCTTCCTGATAAATTGTTGTTCATGTTAGTTCCAGGAAAATTTCTCTGAGATAAATTTGTGAGCTTTCATCAGAAAACAAACCATGTGTAACCCAGTTTATTTCTTAAATGTTGGCTTCCAGAAAACTTATTAGAGCCATATTTATTGTGCGGATATCATTTGTTGACTTCAGGCTCTTGAAAACTTATTTGTTTCTTCCTTTGTGAACTCTACTTATTCCTAACTGCTTTATTGGCCTAAGCTACTTAGATTTTTGAATGTTTGATAAAGGAATAAGACTTTAGGAGCAGGACTTGCTTAGGAACCTAATTCCAGCCACTGTCTGGAATGGTCCAAGAAAATCTAATTCTAGATGAGTTTATTTTCCCAGTGGCCTCTTCTCACTTATTTGACAGTTTCAGTGTGAGTATTCACATAATCTTGATATCATCCACTCTACATATATAATTAACACTTTTCAAGTTGTGAACTTTGGTTTGCTTTTCTTTAGAATGTGTTACCTAAAAACAAACTTGATGTCATATGAGTGAATTTTATAGCTTAATATTACCTTCGTTCAATAAAAGAACTTCATAATAAATATTAAGGGTACTTTTATTGTTAAAAGAATCCTTTAAAGTTTTACTATTATAAGTGAAAGCAGTGATTGTTTAGCATAGTTTTGTAGTAGAAATTAAGAAGAAAAAAATAAAACCTCTCAATTCTTGAAAGAAAAAAAACCAAATGATCTTTCAAGGTGATCTGTAATCAGAACTTTTTTTGTGGGGGGTACTAGGGGTTGAAGCCAGGGTTGCCTTATCATTGAGACATTGAGTTACATTTCCATCTCCAGCCTTTTTTTTTTTTTTTTTTTTTTGAGACAGGGTCTGAGTTATTGAAGGTTTTGCTAAATTGCTGAGGCTGACTTCAAATTTAAGATAATCCTGCCTCAGCCTCCCTAGACACTGGGATTATATGTATGTGCCACTGTGCTTGGCAATAATCAGAACATTTAATTAAAGGAAATTAAAAACCATCATTTAAACCTTTTAGACTTTGCCAGCTCAGATTAGTCATTGTGTGGGGCCCAGTTTCCTGTTCCCTAATTTAGCTACCTGCTGGTGTGTGCAATGATGTTGGGGTTAGAGGATATGATTTTTTTAAATTTAATGACTTTGTTTGTACTTTTTTCTTAAATAACTGCAAAATTATATGAAGAATATAGATGGGAAACCTACAGATTTTTAGAAAAATATTAGGATCTGTTAGAATGTCAAGTAGTCATATGAGTTAGCCCAACCTAAAAGTTCAGTTATCAAGTTACCTGCCTGGATTTCTAAATTATTCAAATTAATACTGTCACATAGAGTCAGCTAAAGGTTATAGGGAGTATAGAAATGTGAAGGCCCTGAGGGAACTGTGAGCATTGTCATACGGTATTTCTGGGAGGTCAGTTTCATGCTGATAGAAGGCTGCAGTGGGTTGATCCTCTGCCTTCAGCCTCTAGTGATGCATGTAAGTCTTTGCCCTAGGATGAATCTCGAATAACTTCTCAGATATCATTGGACAAAGGAAATGGTTCTTCCTTGACTGAAGTTCCTCAGTACAGTATAGAAGAGGACAAATTAAACAACTTTTACTCTGTCTGAGTACCAGTAGGAGGTGTGGAATGTTCTGGAGTCTTTCAGAAAACATGGAAGACTTTTTTTTTTTTTTTTTTTTGGTACCTGGGATTGAACCCAGGTGCACTCAACCACTGAGCCACATCTCCAGCCCTTTTTTAATATATATTTTTAGAGACAGGGTCTCACTGAATTGCTGAGGCTGACCTTGAACTCATGATCCTCCTGCCCAGCCTTCCGAGCTGCTGAGATTATAAGCATGCGCCACCATGACTGGCAAGTTGCCTTAATTCATTTCACAGAGCACTCTGTGTAGGAATTTTTTTCATTTATGGTGCTGGGGATTGAACCTAGGGCCTTGGGCATGCTAAGCACATACTTTACCACTGAGCTATGTTCCCAGCCCAAAGGTGCCTTAATAAGAGTTTTACGATCTGCACTTAAGCATCTTTACGATCTAGAGAGATTCTTCTCCTTAAACTTAAAAAATAACTTTTTTGAAGGACACTTTCAGTACCTTAGGAGAAAATAAAGAGATATAATCTGTTCTTCCAGGAAATAAGGTAGTTGAGCAAATGTGTGCCAAATCTTGTAAACCCTGATAAATTGAGTTGTTTGTCCTTTTGAGTTGTTTGTGCTTTTCTTACCTGAGTGTGGAGATGATAAAAATCTATGATGACTGTTCAGTGCTCTAACCTTGATGCCTATTCTCTGCTGTCCTCTACTGGTTTCACTTAGTGTTTAAATATTTCTAGCAACCTGTAATTCATGCCTTCTTTTTCTTAAGAATTAAGCTGGTGCAGTGAGCAAATCTGGAAACTTCATTTACCCAAATTCTCCTCCGAGAAGTTCTGTGTTGTCTGCAGCTTCATTCATAGGAGCCAAATTCAAATTAAGGTTTTCACATCAGTTTGGAATGTAAAAATCTGTTATTCCTGCAGTCTCCTTTTTTGAATTTCCTCTTACTCTGAAGTGCTATGATGGTGCTTTGGGGGTTGCAGAGTAGGGAAGTATCAGGATGGGAGAACTCATTCTGAAGAAAGAAAGGAGTGGAACAACGCTGGTTACTGCACATTACTTTGGGATTTGATTAGTTTTTTGTTTTTAATATGTGTATATTCAAGGTTCTCAAGTAGTTTTTTTTTTTTTTCTTTTCTTTTTCTTTTAGTTGATTAGTCAGAAAAAGTGTCCCACAAACAAGAGCCTTTATGAATCTTCAGAGCTAACTTCCCTAGCAGGTTGTTTAGCTAATACTGACCTCAAATTCTTGACCTTCCAATTGCCTGTTCATCTCTCTAAGGTGGGGAATGCAGTCTGAAGAAGGCTGTGTACCACTTGAGAGAGACTCAGCTCTCCGATTTGCACTGGTGGAAGGAATCTAAATACTCTTGTTATTTTTTCTTGTCTTCCATGTATTCCAACTGAGCCCTTCATATTTGCCATCTTTTCTACCCTAAATGTCTTTATTCCTCTTCTTCCCTTGATTGAGATTCTTCCTTTAGGATTTAGTTCATGTTAATTGCTCCAGAATACACTCTGACCTTTTGTAATCCCATAGCACTGTGCTATCTCTAGTAGTGCACTCTACATTGCAATGAAGCTGTTTTATTTCTTTTTCTGCTTCATTTTGGTATAATTTATAAGTAGAAATTATATATATTCAAGATGTACAATGTGATATTTTGATATACATTGTGAGGTGATTGCCACGATCAAGTTCATTAACATATTCCATCACCTTGTGCAAATAACCAAGTATATATGAAAAGGTGTCCATCATCACTAATCAGGTAAATGCAATTCAAAACTAAAATGAAGGTGTATTTTTAACAAACCCTTTTTCATTAACACATCTTTCAAGTTTGAGTAATGATAATCTTCTTTAGTTATTAAGAATTTTTTCCAAAGTGAAATAGCTTTATTATTATTTTTGACTATATACCTTTGTGGAAAATTAAAAGAAAATATTAAAGTATGAAGGGAAATCTTATGACTCAGAATTAACTACTGTTAAAAAGTGCTTTTAACAGGGCATAGTGGTGCATGCCTATAATCATAGCAGCTCGGGAGGTTGAGGCAGGAGAATCTCAGCCTCAGCAATTTAGGAAGTCCCTGAGCAACTTAGTGAGACCTTGTCTCAAAATGAAAAATAAAAAAGGGCTGGGTGCCCCTGGGTTTAATACGCACTACCAAAAAAAAAAAAGGTGCTTTTAAATATATAAGCTTAAATGTGTGCTACTCCATTTTTCCTGTTTATAGTTTTGCCTATAAAAGAATTGTTTGTTTTGTCCCTTTGGAAGAAGTCTATTTTAACAAACAGCATTAGAACATCTAGTTTAGTTTAATGAAGCCACTACTTTTATGTTTCACATTGCAAAGTAGCTTCCTGACTTAGGTGATGAAATATGCCTTTTGCTAAGACAGCCATGTGCTCTTAGCCTGGAATCCAATGTTTTTTAAGTTACCACATCATACCTTGCTTTGTATGTGGCCATTTACTTAATAATATATGCCCCTTCATCTGTGCTTATAAGTCTTTTTCTTTTTCTCCTTTAAGTGGTACTGAGAATTGAATATAGGGTCACTTTACATCGCTGAGCTATATCCCCAGCCATTTTTATTTTTATTTTGAGACAGGGTCTTGCTTAGTTGCTTAGGGCCTTGTAAATTGCTGAAGCTGGCCTTGAACTTTTGATCCTGTTGCCACAGCTTCTCAGTGCCACTGGGATTACACACACCTGTAGGCCATTCTTCAGTAATGGAGCAGTTTAAAGCAACCTACAAGAAAGGAATAATCATTTGAGAAAGTCAAAGAAGTCTCTTTTAGGAGAAACTTTTTGTTTATACCCCGTGTCTTGCTCCCACTGTGTAGCCATTGACACAAAGTTTGCAGGAGTAATCTCCCAGATGTTCTTCTCCATGCACACCTTCTTTTCCGTTCCACTTTCATACTTCTGCCCTGTCAGGATTTGTTTTATAGAATAAATGTGTTTTTATATATTTTTTCTCTTCTTGTGTATTGTATATGTGACATGTCCCTCTATAGGAAATGATCGAATTCTACTTGGTATAAAGTGGGTTTTTTTTTCCCCAATAAATGCAAGTTATATAACTTAGAACATTGGCTGGATCAATTTTTGGTAAGGTAAGACATCCTATAGCAGCAGCAGATTTGAGACTCAAGTGTGGTTAGGCTTTTTGAATGAATATCATTTATTACTGTATTTAGATTTCATATTCTAATCCAGTCTCATCTTTGGAGATGGTTGGAACATAGTAATGCTGCTGAGGACTATTAACTATCTTTTATGGATAATGTCTCATTCTATCCCCAATTTCTATAAGTACCCTTTCTGAGTGTTATTTGCTGCCTATTCTTATATTTTTATTTTAGATCACAGATTCTGCTGGACATATTTTATACTCCAAGGAAGATGCATCCAAGGGGAAGTTTGCTTTTACCACTGAAGATTATGACATGTTTGAAGTATGTTTTGAGAGCAAGGGTAAGTAATCAGAAGATTTTCCTTGAATTGAGCATCTTCTCCAACTCTGTAGTGCCCCCTGCTATAGATAGCAGTTCATTTCTAGTTTCAATTTAGTTTTTGTTCCTTCTGATATGGAGATTTGATGTCTTGTGGCCTTTGAAGCATCTTCTGAAAGATTGTCTAGGTGGAGTAGAAGAGTGATGAAGTAAAGCACAGAGAATTTTTAGGGCAATGAAATACCTTGTGAACCAATAAAACTTTTCATAGAATTGGGGGGGTGGCAGAGGGGAACAGTCCTAAAATCCACTTGGGGGGCTAAAAGGTCCAGAATAACCAAAGTAATTCTAAGTCAAAAAAGCAATGCTGGAAGGCATCATAATACTTAACTTCAAATTATACTTCCAAGCTATATTAACAAAAGCTGCATCATACTAGCATAAAAACAGAGATATAAACCAATGGAACAGAATAGAAGATACAGACGAACACACACAGGTATAGTCATCTGATCCTTGACAAAGGTACCAAAAACAGATGTTGGAGAAAAATCAGACTTTTTTACACTGTTTAGAAAAATGGTTATCCATTCTTCTATGAATGAGATGAGGTCCTTATCTCACTCTGCACAAAAGTCAACTAAGATAATCAAATACTTAGGAATTATACTTTGCAACCTAGAAGAAAATGTAGGGTTAATCAGCATTAAAAGAGAATAGAATTATGGCATTTGCAGGTAAATGGATGGAGTTTGAGAATATTATGCTAAGTGAAGGAAGCCAATCTCCCAAATCTAAAGGCCAAATGTTTTCTCTGATTAGTGGATGCTCTCTATGGGGGTGGGGGTGGGGTGGAGGAACTTTGGATTGGGCAAAGGGGAGGGTTGAGAGAGGTTATAAGGGTAGGAAAGATAGTGGAATGAGAAGGACATCATTACCCTAGGTACATGTATGATTGCCCAAATGGCGCATCTCTACGCCATATACAACTAGAGAATTTAAATGTTGCACTCCATTTGTGTATAATGAATTGAAATGCATTCTGCTGTCATGTACAACTAAGTAGAACAAATTAAAAAATTAATTAAAAAAAAAAGAAAAGAAAATGTAGGTCAACACCTCAGTATATAGGCAAAGGCAGCAACTTCCTCAATAGGCAGGAAATAATACTAAGAATTAATAAATGGATATCATCAAATTAAAAAGCTGCTGCACAGCAAAGGAAACAATTAAAAATGTGAAGAGAGAACCTTCAAAATGGGAGAAAATCTTTGTAGCTACTCATCTTAGGATTAATACCCAGAATATACAAGAAAAAACCCTCACATAACCCAATTAATAAATGGGTGGATGAACTAAACAGACACCTCAAAAAAGAAGTATAGAAGGCCAACAAATATATGAAAAAAATTTCAACATCTTTAGCAATTAGGGAAATGCATATTAAAACTACACTGAGATTTTGTCTCATTCTAGTCTGAATGGCAGCCATTAAGAATATGAAAAATAATAGGGGAGCTCGGATTGTGGCTCAGTGGTGGAACACTTGCCTTGCACATTTGAGGCATTGGGTTTGATCCTCAGCACCACTTAAAAATAAACAAATACAATAAAGGTATTGTGTCCAGCTAAAACTAAATATATATATATATATTTTTAAAAGAATATAAACAATAATTAATATTGGAAAGCATGTAGAGAAAAGGGAACAATTTCACACTGTTGGTAGAATTGTAAATTAGTACAGATGCTATGGAAATCAATATGGATGTTCCTTAAAAAACTAGGAATGGAACCACCACATGACCTAGCTATACCATTTCTTGGGATTTATGCAAAAGAATTCATATTGACATACTATAGCAATACATACCCATGTTTATAGCAGTGCAATTCATATTAGCCAAGTTATGGAACTAACCAGGCGTCCGCCAGTTGATGAATGGATAAAGAAAATTTGGTATGTATACAAAATGGAATTTCATTCAGCCATAAGGAATGAAATTATATCATTTGTAGGAAAATGGATGGAACTTGAGAACATTATTTTCAGCAAAGTCAAGGGTCATATGCTTTCTCTCTTATGTGGAAGGTGGAGAGAAAAAAGGAAAAGAAGGGGATGGGGAATCTCGTGAAGATCAAAGGGAGACCAGTACACCAGAGAAAAGGGACCAAGTGGAGGAGGAGAGGTAGAATAGGGAAATAATGGGAAATGATATTGACCAAATTATTATGTTGTGTGTGTGTGTGAATATGAAACAATGAATCCCACCATTATGTATAATTAACAATGCAGGGGCTGGGGATGTGGCTCAAGCGGTAGCGCGCTCGCCTGGCATGCGTGCGGCCTGGGTTCGATCCTAGCACCACATACAAACAAAGAATTTGTGTCCGCTGAAAACTAAAAAATAAATATTAAAATTTTTAAAAAAAATTAACAATGCACCAATAAAAACAGGGTAAAAAAGATATAAGCAAAACAACAACAACAACAACTTTGTGTGAAACTTAGTAGTAGATACATGTCATCATACATTGATCCCAGCATCGCATTTGGAATGTAAGTCAAAAGGGAACCTAATGTAACTGTGGGCTTTGGGTGATAATGATGTATTGTTGAGGTGCATCATTTATAACAGGTTACCACTTTGGCAGAAGATGTGCATAATGAGGAAGGGTATGCACATGTAGGAGTAAGGGGAAATGGGAAGTCTGTCTACCCTCCTCTCAGTTTTGCTCTAAACCTAAAATTGCTCAAACAAAATAAAGTTATAATTAAAAAGGGGAGAGATTATCATTTTCCAGGCAAATACAGAAAGAGATTTACTGAAAGTGTCTTTTTAGGCCATGATATCAGCTAAGGGAATAAACTGGCTATTCTATGCAAGAGACTATATGGTCTAAAATTAGGCCAGCCAGACATTTGTGGTTTTGTGGTTTCACTTAGACTTGAAAAATGTTAATACTGTGCTGTGACAAACAGGAGATAAACTGAAGATTCTGATAGAAAGAACATGTCTGATCATTTGAATCATGTCAGGCTAGAAGCTACTTGTGTTTCACAGCTTTTTAAATGAAGACAGAAAGGCAAAAGTTTGTCTAACATCTTCTGTGGGTGATGTCATAATCTTTATTACATTCAGATTAGGGGAGAAGAGACTACTCTGGGTGCCATGTTTGATTTGCTTGGAGATTGTTGGTTTAATGCTTAGAAATCATCATGACTTGTCTTAATCTTCCTGTATATTTCTCTTGCTTTCAAATTTATCTTTCTAGTCTATCCAAAATAAGTTATTTACTGTCTTAAACATGACATACTGATTTCCATTATCTGAGCCTTTGTCCATGCTTTCCTTCTGTCTAGAATATTTTGCTTGAGTCTTACCTTCAGGTATTCCCGTCTCTTTTTTCTTTTTTTGGTACCAGGAGGGATGAATCTAGGGGGGCTTAACCACTGAGTCATAACTCCAGCCCTTTTTTATATTTTACTTAGAGACAAGGTCTCGCTGAGTTGCTGAGGCATGCAATCTGCCTGCCTCAGCCACTCCAGCTGCTGGGATTATAGGTATGCACCCCTGCATTGGGCCCAGGTACTCCCTTCTCAGTGCAGGCAGTCCACAGCTCACCTCTTACCTTTCCTTCACAGCAGGGATTATTTGAGCCAGTTGTTTTGGCTCAAAATTTTACAGTGCTTTGCTGTTATATATATGGATGTCTTAGATCCTCACTGAATTATTTGAAGGCAGAGAGTATACCTTTTGAGAGTCTTTCAGCACAGTTCTAGTTCCAAGTGAGTCCTCAGTGAGTAGTTTTTTGGGGGAGTGGGGGGTACTGGGGATTAAACCCAGAGATGCTCTATCACTTAGTCATATCCCCAGCCTTTAAAAAAAAAAAAAAAAAGACTTTTTATTTTGAGACAGGATCTCACTAAGTTGCTGAGTCTGACCTTGAATTTGCAATCCTCATGCCTGCCTCAGGTTCCTGAGTTGCTGCTGGGATTGTAAGCTTGTGCCTCCACTCCTGGCTCAATGAGTAATTTTTTAAATTGACTTCAGTCCATTTCAGAAAACTTTCAGTGTCTCTCAAGCAGTAGAGGGTGGAGTACCATCCCCTGTGACTTTTGCTCTTAAAGACCTCAGTTCTTAAGTGGCACTGTTTCCCAAAACCTCTGATTTCATACAGGTGTTTTTTAGTTTTATAAATAGATGAAATCCAAGGAATTTGAACCAAATGGTTTCTTAGGGCTCTTTGAGTTGTTCCCTTTCCTCTCTTACTCAGTGATTTAAGGTTAGATTGAGGAGCTAGGGTTGTGGTTCAGTGCTAGAGCACTTGCCTAGCACCTGTGAGGCACTGGGTTTGATCCTCAGCACTACATAAAAATAAATAAATAAAGGTATTGTGTCCATCTACAACTTAAAAAAAATAAATAAACAAACAAAGAAATAAATAAAAGGTTAGGTTGGTGGGGGGCAGTACTAGGGATTGAACCCAGAGGCACGCTGCCACTGGCAGTGTCTTCTCCTAAGTTGCCCAGGCTGGCCTTGAACTTGGGATTCTCTGCCCTAGCCTTTTGAGTAGATAATATTACAGGTATGTGCCATCATAGAATTCCTTTTTGGTCACACTGGAAATAGTTAATTTTTCTAATACAAATATGTTGTTGGCCCTATTATCCCAATAGAAATTTTCTTTCTAAGAAACATCCCTGAGAATTGTGCTTCCTGTCAAGTTTTTTTTTTTTAATTATAACTAACTCCTTTAAGGATTTAGTGGGAATAACCTTATAACATTTTATTCATCTATTAAAATAAACCTTACATTGATCAGAACATTTGACTTAAAATGGAATATTAGATAAAAACCTATATTCTTTTCAATACTCAGATTTGTGTTAAATAAATTCAAAGTTAGCATATACTCAGTAATCCTAATTGAGCATGACTTGCTTTCAAAATTTAACAGGCATTCTTTTCAGATGTGGAAATGTGCATTTTCAGCCTAAGTTGGTACTCACTTCCTACTGATCGGTATGCCAGTCAATTTCACAGGGTTGTGATTTTTGAGTTTTATTTTCCAGTTGAAAAGCCTGTGTGTTTTTTCTTCTCCTATTCTATTCCTCTGTAGTACCAGTAGCAGAATCTTGTGTCGTGCCTGCTCTGAGATGTTTGCCAGCAGCATGTTCTCTTTGCTTTCCGGCACCCCACACAGATAGAGGCTTTGTCTGGAATGTTTGTGATTTTAGCCAGAGCCAGGAATTTTTTGCAGCTGAGTAGGGGGAGGAGTTGTGTCTGTTTCCCTCTATTGAGAGGATAGGGGTGAGGGAGAGGGAGGTGGGTGGGTGATTTCCCGGAATTTAAAATATTCTGCACAATGATTCTTTTGATTTCTTTCTCAGGGACAGGGCGGATACCTGACCAACTCGTGATCCTAGACATGAAGCATGGAGTGGAGGCAAAAAATTACGAAGAGGTATGTTCTGCCGCCACAGCCAGAGGAGGCAGCATGCTGTGCCGTCAGATTCTGTGTCAGGCCAACAGGCTATGCTTTGTCCAGAAGGCTGCGTTTTTCTCAGCAGTCATGTGACAACCAGCTATGATTTTATTAATACAAAAAGTTGTATTAATGGCCTTAAATAGTAAATCTGGTTGTTCTGTCAACCAAAGGACTGAACCAACTGTCCCTTACAGATGTCACACTCAAGCATATGCCATTCGACCTCTTGAGGCAGAAACCAGATATATGTAGTAATGATTTTAGAAAGAAAGTGGGAGGGAAGAAAAAACTGCAAGAGATAGTGATAATGAGTAGAAAGGAAATATTATAGAGTAATTAAAACTGATGTGTTTGAATGACAGGGAAGTGGAGTATACATGGGATAAGGAGAAGGGTGACAGGCTTTTTCATCTCTATTTGAGACTTTGGGGGCACCACAAAATGATTCTTCAGATGAAGAGCACTTTTCTTTCTTTCTCTTTTTTTTTGGTGCCTGGATTTGAACCCAGGGGCGCTTAGCCACTGAGCCACATCCCCAGCCCTTTTTTATATTTTATTTAGAATTATCTATTGCTAAGTTGCTGAGGCTGGCTTTAAACTCCTGGCTCAGCCTCTCAAGCTGCTGGGATTACAGGCATGCACTACCCCCCCAGCTGAAGAGCACATTTGAACCAGGGGCAGTGTCATGCCTATAATCCCATTAACTCTGGAGACTGAGGCAGGAGGATTGCAACTCTGCATCTTAGTGAGACCCTGTCTCAAAATAAAATTTAAAAGGGTTGGGGTGTGGCTCAGTGGTGGAATGCTCCTGGGTTATATCTCCAGTACTGCAAAAAAACAAAAACAAATGCAGAGCACCTTTGAAAAAACCACTAGAACTAATACCTTTACAGAAAGATAAAGAGTTTTCTTTCCCAGTCCCTGAGCAGTCTTTGGGGGCATGAATAAGTGGAGTATAGGACATGTAAGTGACTTTTGTAGAATGTAAACTAAATAAGTGAAGAAAATTTGTTTTAAGAGCTTTTAGAAGAGTTTTCTAGGAGTTGTCAAACAAGAGAAGTTGCTTTGTCTTTGGTCAGATCTCTAGAAGGGAAATATCCTAAAATGGACGAAGATTGGAAGTGAATGGTTATTTCTGCAACAGGAAGTAGTAGTATAACAATAGCAGCTCCCTAGGTCTTTCCTCTTTTCCCTGTTCAAGTGTTTGACACTTGAACAGAAAGAGTTATTTGGAGGCAATAGATAGGAGCAAATGATCCAGCAATGATTGGAAGATAATTCCCAGTAGAGACTTTGACTTGTTTGTTCTCCAGGCTAGTGTAAGTAAAAGAAATAAGAGAAGCAAGAGAGCCTCTTTGTTTGAATTTAAGAGTAAAATGAGAGCTGGGGTTGTGTCTCAGAGGTTGAGTGCTTGCCTAGCATGTGTGAGGTACTGGGTTCAATCCTCAGCACCACATAAAAATAAAATAAAGGCATGGTGTCCAGCTACAAGTAAAAAAAATAAATGTTTAAACAAAAACAGTAAACTGAAACATCTTTTTAAACTTCTATGATTCAGAAGAGCCTTAATTATATTTACATAAGATAATGTATGTTAAAGTGCTGTTGTAAGATATAAAACTCTTAAGAAAAAGTTGTAGGTATTATGCAAGAGTAGATAAAATGATTTTCAGCTTGTGGTTACTGCTGCCATTCCCAACCATGAGCTATTCTCCAAGCAACTATATGAATTTCCCTGTTGTAACTTTGTTTTCCAACATGGTGACTATCATTAATGGGTATTTTTTAAGTAACAGAGCACCTGATACCCTATTAGACTTGAGACCTAGTTCCCCCTTGAAAACATTTGACATTATTATATCTTTACAAAAGAATGAATGTGGACACCACTGATTTGACCCTTTACCTCCTAGAACCCCATTATCCTTGGGTTTTATTAACTCTGGCAAAGGGGCTGTATTTTTTTTTTTTTTTTTTTTTTTTTTTTACCTTCTGCTTAGCCCAAGAGGGGAATCCCTAGCAGAAAGGAAATCACATTGCTTCCTTTGCCTGCTTCCTACTTTGGACATTTGGCACATCTTAAGCCTTTCTTTACGCACATGATTACAACACAGCTCTAAGGTTCTGCTTCTTAAACCCCCACTACTCCTCCCCACTACATTCCCTTATGAGCCCTCTGCCTCCTTCCCCCAAATAGTAGACCAGACTGAGGCAGAGGAGGAGAGGCGGGTATAACACAGGTCAAAGACCAGTCCTTTTTTTCAGTGTGTGATTCCATGGAACGTTTGTTAGAAATAGCTGTTAGTAGTTTCTGGACTAATAATGTCTGTAATAAGAATATGGATAATAGAAGCACTTTGTTCCCTGGTTAATTGCCAGAGAGTACCGAGCATATTTAGAGTTCAAGGCATTTAATTTTAGGCTCTTCAGATAGGGAGAGCCTTTATGCTCAAAGGATTTTGATCCTTTGGCATCGACTAAGATTTAGAAAGGCAGCACATTTCTTTCTTTCTTTCTTTTTAAGTACTGGGGATTGAATCCAGGGCCTTGTGTGTGATGAGTAAGCACTCTACCACTGAGCTGCATTCCCTAGCCCTTCTTAAATTTTGAGACAGGGTCTTGCTAAGTTGTCCAGGCTGGCCTTGGACTTACAGTTCTCCTGCTTCAGCCTTCCAAGTTGCTGGGGTTATGGATATAATACATTTTTAAAATTTTCCTCACATTCAACACATCTCTTCCTCATATGTGGACTAATAATTCTGAAATCCCACGTGGTCCTATACAATTCAGTAGTAATTATTGTTTTAATAGCTGGGTGGAGTACTATATTACCTATCTAAAATGTTATGGAGGATTTAGTTAATGCACTTGAAATTGCTGTATAAACACAATACAAATGTGAGATGATATTATTTGGAAGACATAGTGCTTGCCATATGGTAAAGAAGCATAAAGTCATGTAGCTTGAAAAAGAAAATGAATTCTTATATCCTCAGAAATAAAACACTTTTGATTCCCTGTGTTGTATTTTAAGAACTTAGGCTGGGTGAGGTGGTGCACTTCTCTTATCTCAGTTACTTGGGAGGCTGAGGCAGGATGATTTCAAATTAAAGGCCAGCTTAGGCAACTTAATGAGACCCTAAGAATAAAAATTAAAAAGGGCTGGGGATGTAGCTCAGTGGTAGAGTGTCTCTGGGTTTGAAACATCCCTAGTACTGCCAAAAAAAAAAGGAAAGGCAAAAGAAAAAGAACTTCTAGCCACTATCTTGCTTTTTGTCTCCTGGGGCAGGGGAGCATCTTTTAGATTCATTTTGTGAATCAAGCTATTTCTTCTTAATTTGTACTGTGTAGAGTAGCTGCTTTCAGGGACTTGTTGTCTGTTAAGGGAATAAAGGCAGTTACTGTCCCATAAAGAAGTAATTCTCTGACCCGTCCTCTAATTCCTGAGCTGTGTATGTCCCTTCTTGCTGTGGATATCAGCATTTTCAAAGTTCTGTTTTGCCTAGGGGTTCTGTTAATCTTTTATTTGCTGTCAACACATATACCAAAACACAGTGCACTGATTGAAGCCACAGCTGAAGACATTCCAAAACTGTTTCTCTGAATGCCTTCAGAGAGGAGAAGCTCTGCTTCCATATACTAGGTCCAGAGTCCCTTTCTTGACACAAGTTAATGAAATAACATGAATAAGGCACCTGATACATAGTTGGTCAGTTAGTAGATTTTAGCCCAGCCCCCCGTACTGCTACATGTGTGTGATAGACATTGTGGTAGGGAGGGCTTTCTCTCAGGCAGTGGGCCTCAGGAATATGAGTGCTGAGTGAAAAGAGATGTGAAGTGCTCTTCACACACAGGAAGCACTTGCTTGAGTCAGGGAATCATCAGCACTTAACTACTAGGTGAAGAGAAGACCACATCAACAGGTGTGGTAGAAGTGTTTACTGTGTTTTGGGTATTTAGCTGTAAATTTTCTGGGACTAAACTGTGAGGGAAAAAGGTAAAAGTGAAAACAAATTTGTGAATATGACAGTGTATGATTGTTAGTCATGTGGCACAATATAAGTGATCTAATGTTAGAGAAAGTTGGTGTGGACAGGAGTGGTTGAAGGAGTCTACATGGATAAGGCCTTCAGAAGAGAGGTAGGATTTGAGAACAGCTAAGTGCGCATGCTTCTGGAAGTTAAGGATTCTGTTCTTGTGTTTTATAGCAGAGCTTTGCAGTTTTGATGCTAAATAAATGCTTTGGTGACCTTGGGTAGGGAGTCAAGTAACCATGATGTGCTGCTAATCCTGGTCTGCCACCTAAAGGGCCAAGAAACTTTATGAACTCTTTTAAAAAAAGTTTCCTCATTTGTGAAATGAGGCACTCATTGTAAAATGAAGTCCTTTGATTCACACCAGGAGAATGCCACCCTCTGGTGGAAAACCTGTGGTACACATGTCATGTGGCCCACCTTTGTCAAGATGTTTTACAAGACACATCTCATGCTTCTAGCCATGGGATAGAAGTAAACTAGAAGCAAGTGCTCTGGCCTGCCTTCATGGAGTATGTCTAATTGGTATCCTCCAGGTAAAATGTTTTGAAGAGTAGAACAGTAAGTGGGGATTTTGAAATTGAGGTTTTCTTTTTAAACTTTTGTACTGATTGTTACATAAAGATTCTTGATGCTATTCACTGATGACAGATACTTAGTTCTGGGCAAGTGAGGAGAGTTTTCAGAATAATTACGTAGAATTTGTTTTAAATTTTTACTCTATTGCCTACAAAAATGGTAGTGGGGGAAGGTGAAGAAGTTCATTAGTCAGACCAACTGGACAACTTATTTAGATCCTTGTGGCCTAGTAGCTTGTTTGCTTCACTTTTGATTCAGGAAAATTTCAGTGTAGTTTTATAATTTTCTTTGTCTAATTTCTACCTATAGAGTGAAGTATCTACTCAGATAGACTTGGATTTCAGTCCTAGCACTACCATACCAACCTTGGGAAGTTATTTAATATATTTGAGCCTTAGTTTCCTCATCTGAAAACTTACAGATAATACTTTCTGGGGTTATGGGATTAAATGAGATCATAAGATATAAAATACCACAATCTGAGTATGTATTAATCGGTGTCATTCATTATACTGCTTTTTTCATCTCTTTCCCCATTTGTATCTCCAATCTGACTTTTGGGCCATTTATTTGCTATTATCACACCACCTTCTCCTAAACATAAAAGAGTATGTTGTATAAATGTGTGTACCTGCACCAACTATTCTAGCTTCCAGCATATCAGACTCTTTATGTAGTCTCCAAAGCAAGGCCTACACTCTCCCCTCCATGTTTTGGCTTACTGGTTCCTCTCTACCTTGAATGTCCTTCTCATCTCTTTCAAAATCCTCTCCCAATTTGTGAGACCCAGCTTAACTTCTGTTAAGTTTTCCCTTATTTTCCTAGTTAGAGTCAGTCTCTTGCTACTTTCTTTCCATTCTGTTCTTTTTTTTTTTTAAAGAGAGGAGGGAGAGAGAGAATTTTTTTAATATTTATTTTTTTAGTTTTCGGCGGACACAACATCTTTGTTTGTGTGTAGTGCTGAGGATTGAACCCGGGCCGCACGCATGCCAGGCGAGCGCGCTATCGCTTGAGCCACATCCCCAGCCCTCCATTCTGTTCTTAATGTATATCTTGGTAGTAGAAGTCAATACATGATGCTTTTTAATTAAAGCTTTACATGTGAGACTTTCTACCAGTGAGCTTAATGTGGTAATTTAGCTTTGTGTCTTGCACACCCTAAGCACTCAAACTATATTGTTGTTATGATGTTCTTTAAAGGTTAAAACAGAGTAAAAATGGGTTGGGGTTGTAGCCTAGTGGTAGAGCATTTGCTTAGCATTCATAAGGTCATGGGGGTTTGATCTCAAAAAAAAAAAAAAAAAAACCGCAAAATTTTATACTTCTTGTAAACTGATCATAAAAGTCTATTACTAATTCTAAATTTTTCTTGTAATGAAAAGTTTTTTTACCACCCTCTTCTTAACTTGATGTGTGCCTATTTGCTTCTTTCCCTTTCCTCCCCATCTATCAGTTATAATCTTTCAGGCCTTTTTTATTTACTTATCAATTTTTAATTCAGTATAATGGTTTCCTTGCATAACCAAATAGCTTTAGAATTACGAATTCCCTCTTCCTCTTTACTCTTTATTTTGTTTTATTTTTGTTCTTGGATATAATTACTTTTTAGTTGTTTTCCGTTTTAAAATAGTAAATTTGTTTCTTGTAGTTCTGAAGGTTAGGAAGTCCAAGACCAGGTTGACAGCACAGTCAGGCTCTGGTGAGGGCCCACTTCTGGGTTGCAGACTGCTGTCTTCTTACTATGCTCTCACATGTGGAAGGCAGATGACTTTACTTAACACCATTTGTTTGCCGAGTCACTCAGAGTTTAGTTGTTGGAACTGTTTTTTGTTCCTTGATTCCTTTCCAATATTATTTTGATTTCTAGGATTAAACATAGAAGTATAACCATGGTTGGAATTTACCACTGAGTATCCTTGGAGTGTTAGATGGTTGCAGTGGCAAGTTAGTTTGCAATATTATTTTACACTCTTGGGGTTTCTTTAAGTTTTCTAGATTTTAAATTAATACCAATAGCAAAGTAGTTATTTAGGGAACTAATTTTTTTTTAAGAAATGGGATCTTTGTTCCACTAATAAATAGTGGGATAGTTTGAAAATAATTTCCTGAAGGAAGAATGGGATTCAATGTAGATTTCATTGAGGAAATAAAATTGATTTAGAAGATAGATATTGGACTATTTTCTTATGAATAGAGGCAAAGAGTCCAGAGTAACACCTACACTAGAAGAGGGTTTATATAGATACAAAACATAAATAATGCGTATTTTAACAAGATCTGCAAAAATAGATACCAAGTTCATAACCACTGTTAACTCTGAAAAAGAATGTGGGAATTTAGGAATTGAAGAACTAACAAAATAGACTTTTGGTTTTTATTTTCTTTGCTTCTGAATAGTTAAAAAGTTTTGGCAGGAGAACATGTGTATATGTTGATTATACAACTAAAAATAAATGAATGTTGGAAAAGCACTTGGAATAAATTTTTTGGGTTATAACTTACAAAAGCCACCCTCAGTACCAGGTTTAATTCTGTCTTGCCTTTTTGGGTTTTAGGCTTTGGATCTTGTCATCTAACAAAAAATATATTATTTTCAGCTGGCAGAGGCACAGCCATAGTTTCACTTCCAGTTCCTTTTGCAAGTTTCTATATAAGCAGCCTTAAATAAATTATGTCTAAGAAGTTTCATGTCGTGTCATTATACTATCTCATTCAGGAAGCTTTGAAGGGAAAGTATAGAGCAGGAGGGAAATTGTTAAACAGATTAAGGTTCAGCTTATTATATACCTTATATATTTATGTCTTTTTCCCTAGGGATGATTTTTAAATTTTTATATTTTTTTGCTCTATAGCCTTATATGAAATCATACAACAGATATATATCTGCTAATGGTATACTTGGCATTTGGGCATTCAGCTAGGAAAGTTAGCTCAGTACATTAGCCATTGGTTAAATCTTGTATTCAGATAAACTGTTCTGCAGCTGCCAATCACATTATTAACCCTAGCCAACATTTTGCAGACGTAAGAAAATATGTATACAGTGGAACAAAATCACAAATCTGTCACCATGTTTTTGTGTACTTTAAATATAAACTCAGTTTTTCTATCGTGTATGTATATGTGTGAGAGAGAGGGGATATTGGTAGGACTGGGGATTGAATCCAGGGAATCTCTAGCACTTTGCTACATCCCAAGTCCTTTTTATTTTTTATTTTGAGGGAGGATCTCACCAAAAGTTGCTGAGACCAGCCTCAAATTTGCAATCCTCCTGTTTCAGCCTCACGAGGAGCTGGGATTACAAGTATGCGCTATCATACCTGACTTTCTATCCCTATCTTAATAGCAGGTTCTAGTTTTATTTTAATTGTTTTCTTGTTCTTCACACATTTAAGGAAGAGTACAGGTAAACAGAAAATACAAAAGTTACCCTTAAATCTTCCCACTCATCCCATATAAACTGCTGTTAACATTTAAGAGAGAGAAAGAACAAGGAAGATAAATTGGACAAAGGAAAAAAGTGGGTATTCCATAGACAATTTGTGGTAAATAGGGAGTAGGAAATAAACAAGCAGATACAGAGAAAGAGTTATGAAGAAATCCCACTGTGGACAAAACTTAGGAGCAACTGGTACATATGAGTTTCAAGATCTTGGAGGCTCTGGTGGTTTATCCATCTTAAAGGTTTCGTGAATTGGGTGTGGCATGTACCTATAGTTGCAACTACTTGGGAGTAATCCTTCTGAGGCAGAAGGATTACTTGAGTCCAGGATTTCCCCTGGGGCAGCAGTGATAGGAGAAGGGAGGTAGCACATACCTTAATCCCTGCAACTCAGGAGGCTGAGACAGGAGAATCGCAAGTTCAAGGCCAGATTCAGCAACTTCAGGATACCTTATCTCAAAATTTTAAAAGGGGCTGGGTATGTAGCTCAGTGGTAGCGTGTCCCTGGGTTCTATTCCTACCACCACCACCAAAAAAAAAAAGCTAAAATTGATAAAACAGCATATAATAATGAAATCCTTGCTCATGTGATTTATGCCTCTAGTTATTGGATAGCCTTTCTCACATCCTTCATTCCTCAGTATGCGTGGACATCCTTAGAGATTTCTATTATAACTGGTGTGTCATTCTTAAAGGGCACAGTCATACATGCCTGTAATTCTAGCACTCAGAGGCTGAGGCAGGAGGATCACAAGTTTGAGACCAGCCTCAGCAACTTCTCGAGCCTCTGTCTCAAAAAGGACTGTGAATATATCTCAGTGGTCGAGTACCCTGATATCAATCCCCGGCACTGCAAAAAATAAAGAAATAAACTAAAAAACTTAGTGCAATATTTTTGAGTAAATGTAGGATTCATTGTGGCTCTGAGTTCTAAAATAAACCTTAAAGTTATAGGATTAATGTGAACAAACCATGGACTCAGATTAGACAGCTTGCCTAATGTGTTCAAGGCCCTCCCTCTGTTCAATCTCCAGCACTTAAAAAAAAAGTAAGCAAACCAGAATTCTGTAATTTTGTATTTTGAGTTATTATCTTAATGCTGTAGTAATTAATATCTACTTTCTCATTCTTGTGTATTATTGGGAATTCGGTGATTTATTTTTTTCTTCTAAAACTAGGATTGATTTTTACAACTCACATTTATTATACTAATAATACTATCTCTTTCCTAGACACAAGTGGAAGGGTAAAAGTAACATGCTTTATTAAAGTCAGAAGTTTAGGGAAAACAGTATATCTTACTTTACAGCCTACCATATTATATTTACAAAGAAATCATAAAAATTAGAGTATTTTTTGAAAATCCGAGATGGAAAGATGTAAGTAGTTAATAGGGAAAGGTGGAAGGCCAGATTTTAAAATCTATTAGGATGATTGATAAGAGGATCTAAGCCTGGTAAGCTTCTAAAAAGATTCTTGTGTTGCTTTGTGTTCTTGACCAGAGCAGTGTTTTCTTAATTTCTTTCTTTTCCAGATTGCAAAAGTTGAGAAGCTCAAACCATTAGAGGTAGAGCTAAGACGCCTAGAAGACCTTTCAGAATCTATTGTTAATGATTTTGCCTACATGAAGAAGCGAGAGGAGGAAATGCGTGATACCAATGGTGAGAGGAAGGCATCTCTTATTTCTCAATAAGTAAACCATAAAGGAGACAAATCCCCAAACATTAAATTTTGGTGTACCCTTTTCTCAGTTTTTCAGAAGTGGGGTTTATGAAAGAAAAATTGCTTGTTTCAGTGCTGTATTAAGTAAATCAACATTGTTAAGAGTGGAATTTTCTTCTGTGATGCATTTGATCATATTCTCTCGTTGGCTTATAGTTTGTCAGATAGATAGAACTAATCTTTGTAGTTTTTAGCATTTATAAATAGAATTATCTTCCTTCCTTCCTTCCTTCCTTCCTTCCTTCCTTCCTTCCTTCCTTCCAGGTCCTAGTAAGGACCTTCCTTCCTTCCTTCCTTCCTTCCTTCCTTCCTTCCTTCCTTCCTCCCTCCCTCCCTTCCTCCCTTCCTCCCTTCCTCCCTTCCTTCCTTCTCCTAGTAAGCAGGCTTACTTCATTACATTTATATTTACAATGCTTTTTGTCTTTTAGAGTCAACAAACACTCGAGTCCTGTACTTCAGCATCTTTTCAATGTTCTGCCTTATCGGACTAGCCACCTGGCAGGTCTTCTACCTTCGTCGCTTCTTCAAGGCCAAGAAGTTAATTGAGTAATGAGACCAAATCTCCTCCTCCCTCATGAATCTCAGCCAGCAGAACATCGCTGGGACGTGCCTGGCCTAAGGCATCCTATTAACAGCACCATGAAGGCACGCTGAAGCTTTCTTGCCAGAACTGATCTTTTTTGGGAGGACTTGGGGTACTCCTACACTCAACAAGTCAATGAGGGACTTCTTTTTAACTCGGTAGGATTTGGACTGGTTTTGCAACAATAGGACTATTATTAGAGTCACCCATGACAAAAAATAGGGGTTACCTAGATAATGCCAAAGTCAGCATTTGTCTTGGGTTTCCTCACGTGATCTATTTGAACCATGTTTGCTTTCCTTCTCCCACTTGCTCACCAGCTTGGGCTTTCACTTTAGTTCTTTTACTACGATTTGTATGACCATGTTGAACTTGTTTCATACTGATTGTCCTCTTTGGGTTTCCTTCTAAAAACATCCTGGCCCTTAGCTGAAATGTTTACATAGCTTCTGGTGATATCCTTTCATAATTTTATGTCTCTTACAAGGGTCGTGAATGTGATACCTTATAAAAGTGAGCTCAGAACTGTAGATAACTTCTTAAAAAAAAAATCTCATTTTAGACAATTAAAATATTTGTGCTCAACTGCTTGAATTTTTTTTTCTTTTTGTGTATGTGTACTTAGTTCCATGCAGTTTTATCATGTGTTTAGGGTCATGAGACCATCACAAGCTATAGTACAGTTTCATCACATGGATTCCTCATATTGCCCTTTTATAGCCACAGCTACCTCCCTTCTATATGCCCCTTTACCCCAAACTCTGGCTACCACTAACCTGTTTACCATCACTATAATTTTGTTGTTTCAAAAATGGTACATAAATAGAACCATTAGAATGTGACCTTTTGAGATTTACTTTTTTTACTCACCATAATTCCCATGATATCCATCCAAGTTGTTACATTTTATCAATAGTTTATTCCTTTTTATTGCTGAATAATATTCTGTGATTATAGATGTACCACACAGTTTCATCCACTGAAGGACTGATGGATTGTTTTCAGTTTTAGGTCCTTAGTAATAAAGCTTCTGTGAATTTTTGTGTATAGGTTTTCAGATGAACATAAATATTTATTTCTCCGGAATAAATGCCCAGAAAGAGCAATTGCTAGGTTCTGTGGTAAGCACATTTAGTTATGTAAGAAATTTCCCTACTCTTTCCAGAGTGGCTGTACCGTTTTACATTTCCACCAGCAGAGTATCACTGATGAGTTTCTCTTCATCCTTACCAATATTTGGTGGTATTACTATTTTTTTTAATTTTAGCCATTTGAATAGCTGTGTATAACATCTCATTATGATTTTCATTTGCATTTTTCTAATGGCTAATGATGTTGAACATTTTTCATGTGCTTGCTTGTGATTTGTATTATCCTCTTCGATGAAATGTTTATGTCTTTTTGCCCATTTTCTAATTGGATCATTATTTTTACTGTTTAGTTTCGAGAGTTTCTTATTTACCTAGATACAAGTATCAGATGTGTGGTTGCTTGAATTTTTAACATCACTTCCACCAAGGAAAAGTAAGTAAAATTTATCATCTCTTCTTGCATGCCCAATTATTGACTTAGTTCCTGTCATTATGTACTCTTTCTAGAGAATTGAGACATAGGAGGTATTAAAATAGGTATCTAGGAGGATCATGGAAAGAGTAAATACTTGAAAATACATGTTCTGAAAGTAAAGCCAAAAATTACTTGTGGGAGTGTGAGATGCCTAAAAGTCCATACTAATGTAAAAAAGAGAAAATATGGAGTTGGGGTAGAATCCTCTCCTTGGATGTGTGAAGCCCCAGGAACTCACACATATACACATACCTGCCCACAGAGTGGATACAAGTGATGATGTTCATAAACAGGAAAGCTATCACTTGAAATCTTTCCAGCTTCTCCTAGGAAAGTAGGAAGGAGTTCTTTCTTTCTGGAATCTCTTTTTAACCCTGCTAATTGTTACAAAGCTTGTCTAATTGAATGGTAAGAATTACTGGACTTAGATTCATGTCACTTGCAGTTAAGAAGCAGAATATGAAAATTATCAAATAACACTGCTGTGATGACATGGATAAAATGTGAAGGCTAAAGAGGGCATGATTTATGTTAAAATCTCAGGCTAATCAGTGTTCTAATTACTATGAATATGAAAGCTTTAAAAAAAAAAAAAAACTCCTGGGCAGCAATAAGCTCTCACCAGCCAACTTGAGCAACATTGCCATCTGCTGTTAAGAAGGGATAGTTGCTGCTTCGGAGAATTTGGCAGTAATTTCCTTGCCATAGGGACAGCAGATGTTGAGAAAGTCTGTAGCACTACTGATATTAAAAGACAGTATGCATCCAAGTAGAGAAAAAAATAAACTAGTGGATTAAGTTCCATCCTTAAACTTTTAAATATAAAATCCTAGCCTGTACCATTAGCCTAATAAGAAACTCATATTTCTGACTGGTGCCTTCCCCTTTTTTAGAAGCAGTGAAAGCTTCTATTAGTTATGGTTTTCTACTCTGAAAAATATCAAAGAAGAAGATAGGAGAGGAGAGGAGAGAATGTTTTATTTTGCTGATGCTTTTGTTTCCAAGTGACTCCAAACTGAAACTTTGTGGAACTGAAATTCTTTAATGTTCCTTCCTTTTACTCATGCCAAAAATACCACCATGAACATTTGTGCTTTGGGTTTAAAAGTTAATATTATGCCTTGCTTTTATCTAAAAGGTAAAAATATTTGCCTTTGAAAACAGGCTAGTACAAGAGCAAATAAGCTTTAAAAAAAGGGATGTTATCTGCTTTCCTCCATTTTTTATTCAGAATGATCTGTATAAGTGGGAACAATTCAGTTCTAAATAAACTTTGTCATACCATTGTCATGAACCCCTGTCAAAGCCATTTTCTGTTTGTTTAATGGAAAAGGCATGTGGGATATATACAGATTTACTTGTGTTGAATTGGGGGTTTTGTGTAAATTTTCTCAAATAAATGCTAGCAGAAACCATTTTAGGTGTATATTTTTTCTGTTACTTTTGAATACCTCTTTGGATTAACAATAATTCCTCCATATTCCTTAGTTTTAAAGTATAGCAAATTACACCTGATAAGAGAAAAAATAATGTTCTTAATTTACTTCATAGTTTAGATGAGCTAGTAAAATTTTGTTATATAACTTATATAAAAATCATATGTATATAATGTAAGTCATGTATAAACTAATAATCCTTAAATATATATGCATGTATGTATATGTGTGTACATAGTTGCATATGTTTTTATATATGCATATATATGTTTTCAGAAAGACCAGATGTAAGCCAGACATTCTCTGTACCTTCTTTTTTGGAAATTGCTGTTGGAATTACCCTCTATGGAGGCTTCTTCCTTGTCTTTATTCCTGAAATATCTCACCCAATTTAGAACCCCCTGGGACTTGCTTTTTTGGCCCATCATGTCTATGTAAACTCCCACTACAGGAGGCAAAGGCTGTTTGTCTCCTTTGCTTTCACTTGACAGTTCATTGATTTTTGTTTGTTTGTTTTTCCATAAACCTTTTTTACAAGAGCCAACAAAAAGTGCTTTGTACATTCACTTACCTCTTATTTATCCTTTACCTCCATTCTTCCAAAAACCAGACAAAATTTATTAGTGGCACCATAATCTACTATGAGTCCAGTTTAATAGTGGTTCCCAGTATTTAGGTATAAATATTTTAACATCAGGGCTGGGGATGTGGCTCAAGCGGTAGCGCGCTCGCCTGGCATACGTGCGGCCTGGGTTCGATCCTCAGCACCACATACAAACAAAGATGTTGTGCCCACCGAAAACTAAAAAATAAGTATTAAAAAAATATATTTTAACATCAAAAATGTTTTGTTTCTAAAAAAAAATGTTTTGTTTCTTACTGATATTTTAGAGAACATGAATTATAAATGAATTCAGCAAAACTTACAAATGAATTTAATAGTATCAGTAGTATTATATACTTGCCATATGGTAATACATATTTTGTAAATTATTGATTCCGTCTACTACATTGGTGTCCTATATGTGAGTCACATGTATAATTTAAAATTTCCTAGCTATATTAAAAAAGCGAAAAGAAATAGGTAAATTTATTATTTAAATTTAACTGTTGAGAATGTTATTATGTTTTATAACATACAGTCATCTAAAAAAATGATTAAAGTAGTTTATATTGCTTTTCACGTAAAGTCTTTGAAACCCAGTGTGTTTTTTACAACTACAGCACATCTCCATTCAGAGGAGCCACAATTCAAGTTTTTAGTAGATGGAGCTAGCAACTGCTTTAGCATACATGCAGTATAGGTTTATACCTTGCTTGGTCTTTGGTGGATTCTTTAATCTTTAGAGTAACACTGTTGCTTCTTGAAGTCTGCCATCCACAAATTGGGTAACTTCAGCAATACATGATAACTATTCGTTTGTTAAAATATGAAAATAGTCTGTTTTGACCAAGGATACCTTCTAATCAATTACACTTTAATTACAAATGTTGCATGTTTCTGGATTTAATATTCAAAGTCAGATGGTTAGTTTCAGTTATATCCAGTATAATGAAGAATTTGGCATGACTGTGTTCTGTATGCAACAGGACATTTTTCTCTTAAGCTTATGATATCTAAGCTTAAGAATAGTTCACAATTGTGAACTAGAATAGTTCACAATTGTGAACTAGAATAGTTCACAATTTTAGGCCAGTTAATTATAGAAAAACTATTTCCTCATTGGAAAGGTGCTAGGGATATTCACCCAAAGGTGCTCAACCACTGGGCCCACGTCCCCATCCCTTTTTTTATTTGAGACAGGGTCTCAATAAGTTGTTTAGGGCCTGGCTAAATTGCTAAAGCTGGCTTTGAATTTGGGACCCTTCTGCCTCAACCTCTTGAGCCACTGGGATTCCAGGCGCATACCACCACTCCTGGTTTGGAAAAATGAATTTTTAAGTTGTGGCTAAAACCTACTGAATTTCTCAGAATGAAAGTCAACACTTCTGATTTTAATTATTTTTTTCTATTCTTTCAGCCTCCCCCTCAAAAAAAAAAAAAAATGAACACCTAGTCTGTTAAACAAAATTAATAGATTAACAGAATTAACAGTTAAGCCAAGCTATAGAGTATATATAAATCTGGTTAAATGAGAGTTATGTCTATCTTCAAAGTGCCTTCCAATAGAAATATGAAATGGTATCTAACTAAAACGATCTCCCTACTTTGCTTAGCTAATCTCTGACTTAATGCTTTGACTGTTCCTCCAGGAAGCCTTCACACCGAGTAAATTTGGCTTGGGAAGATGCCTCTCCAAAATACCTTTCTAGAATGTTGTATTTTTATAGCATTTATGCAAACTGTTGTGATTGCCTGGTTATTTTCTGCATAGGGACTAGATGCTCCATGAGAAAAAAACTGTATTTTTTTCTGTGTGATTTCCCAGAAGCTGGCACATATTTGTTAAATGAATTAATTGAAATAAAAAATACTTGTAAAATCTAGATCCCTGAGATGAAACCAACAAAACTAATGAGTTATCAGTCAAGGAGTCTTACATTTTGGTTTTTAAAAAATGTTTCATACGGACTGGGGCCATAGCTCAGTGGTAGAGTGCTTGCCTCACAGGTGTGAGGCCCTGGGTTCAATCCTCAGCAATCAATCAATCAATCAATCGAGATATTGTGTCTATCTACAACTAAAAAAAAATTTTAAATGTTACATACATATGGGATAATAATCTGATATTTATTCAACAAGTAATTTTTGAGCCTCTATTACAATGCCAAGCACTTTTCTAGGCACTGATTATATACATATATAGTCTTGAACAAGAGAGCAAAATCCAGGTTCTCGTGGAGCTTATAGTCCAATGAGTGGAGATAATAAACAAGACATCAGCATTTTATAGGTAAGCATTCTGAAAAAAATAAGGAGTGATGTCATAAAGTATGATGGCTGTGTTACATTTACTTTACCAATAATATCCCAACTGATAGATTTCTTAAATCTAAACCTTCTCTTCACTCACTGATACTATCTCAGAACCTGTTCTTAGAATATACATTGCCTTGTAACTTGTCTGTTTGCCTCCAGTTTTCATCCTCTGCATGTTCATCATTTGGGTCTAATCCAATCCAAGGTGCCCATAGTTAGTATCTGAGCTGGATGTTCATGCAAAAGAAGGCTTTATTACCCCTGTAATCTCAGCTACTCTGGAGGCTAAGGCAGGAAGATTGTAAATTCAAGGTCAATTTAGAACCTATCTTGAAATAAAAAAGGCTGGGGATGTAGCTCAGTGTTAGAGCACTTGCTTAGCCTGTATGAGCCTGTGGTCTAATCCCTAGCATCACAACAAAAAAGCTTTATTCATTATGCTGGGGGAAAGATTACATAAATAGGGACTTCCCCAGAAAAGTTAGATATATGGTTACTAGTCATCTGCTTAAGAATATCCAATAATTTCCCATAGGAAACCCCAAACTCTGAGAAGAGATTGTATCTTCTATCTCACATGCACTCTGGATTCAAGCCACATGACCTCTTAAGCTCCATTATATCCTACCCTTTCATGGCTCTGGAGCCAGATTGCTAGGTGTGACCTCCCAGCTCCTCTTAATTAGCTGTGTTACAATGATCACTCAATTGGACGTTTTACTTGCCATTCTGTATTTCAGTTTCTGTAAAATGAGAATAGTGTGAGGATTAAGTGCCATGATAACAAAACATTTAGTATAGTGCCCAAAACATAACACTCAACAAATGTTAGCCATCATCCCTGTGCTGTAGGTCATATTTCTGCAATTTTATTAAAAAAAAAAAAAAAAAGTTTGGCCATATGAAGTTTCTCAAGGTCGCATAACTGATGAAACTATTGCTCAATGTGCTGCAATTTTCTTGATGAGGGCAGGGAGCATCTTACTGCAGATTCTCCATTCCCAAATGTGTCTGGCATCTAGTGCTCAAAAAAACGCTTCTTGAGGTCAGATGGTCAAAGATCTTTGGAAAAAAAAAAAAAAACCACCACAGGAGAATGTTGAATCTAGAAAACGAGAAGGGAGAGGAGAGTGTCGATTGAAAATTTTTGTAGTGGTAAAGAAGATTCCAGGGAATCTAAAGGTAGTCCGAGGAAAAATAATTGGACCCACTGACCGAGATGACGGGAGGCTATCAACATCCTATCATTATTACAATATCTCTTAAAAAGGAGCGCTGTCCAACGTTGGAAGGGACCGCTTCCCAATCACCATTCCTGCGGCGGGTCTGACGCCGAGACTGGAAGACCTCTGGACTTCCAGGAAGTAAGGGAACCTGGCCAGGGACGCAGGGAAGCCGGTTGCTGAGGCCGGAGAGTGCCCCTTCGGTGACGCCCTGACTCTGCGAAAGCCGGGCGGTTTCGCTCGGCTCTCACCACGCGCCCGCCAACTCCACCCCGAGGCCACACTTTTCCCCGTGGCCCCGAGGGCGGGAAGCCCGGGCAGCTGAACTAATCAAGTGGGCCTGCAAAGGCGGGGGAAACCTGGCTGGGCCGGAAACGCCGAGAACTGCTTCCGGGTCAGGGCCCCGGAGCCACCATGGAGACTCGCAGGGCTGCGGGGCCGACGGAACCGCAGGTCGGCGTCAGAACCAAGTGAAACGCTGCTTGGCCAGCGCCGCCTGGGACACGCAGGCCGGTCCCGGGGAGCCGCGGTCGCCGCCATGTCGGTTCTGGGCGAGTACGAGCGGCACTGCGACTCCATCAACTCGGACTTTGGAAGCGAGTCCGGGGGTGGCGGGGACTCGGGCCCGGGGCCCAGCGCCAGTCCGGGGCCGCGGGCCGGCGGCGGCGCGGCGGAGCAGGAGGAGCTGCACTACATCCCCATCCGCGTCCTGGGTCGCGGCGCCTTCGGGGAGGCCACGCTGTACCGCCGCACCGAGGTAGCGGCCCTCGGCTCTGGCCGCTGCCAGGCCGCCCCGAGCTTCTCCTTCCCGGTCACTTCCTTCCCGACCTGCCCCCGCCTTCCTACGCGTCTTGAGCCTCCTTGCATAATGTTTAGACACCCGCAAGGCATATGTGTCAGGGTCTTCACCACTCTTTCAACTCACCTGCAATAGGAATTGCTTAGATTACTGATTTCCACTAACCGGTCATTTGTGCTTAGCCCGGGGAACCTGAGCAAATCACAGAACTGTCCATGAGATTTAGTTTTCTCATCTTTAAATTGGACTTAGTGATCCCCACCTTAAACCTTACCTTTATATTTTTAAGGTTATTTCGTGAATCAAACGAAGGTGTGTGCAAACTGTAAGTGAAAGTGGTATAGGAACGAGAGGTGTTGCCAAAACTTCCTTCCTTTCCTTGTGTAGCTTTCAAAGGTCTGGGTGGGGAGGAGGGGTATTGCTTCTGAATACCTCTACTTGCCTAGTTTTGTCATTATCTTTAAGTTCATAAATGATCACTCAATTGGATGTTCTTCTTGAAGATCATTGGGAAGATCGCCGTCTGTTGGTTTCTTCACTAGTGTTCATCTTGCAGGCTTCATGTGTGGAAAAATATTGGTTATTCTAAGTTCTTGGGGAAACAAGGACCCAATTGAGAACCCAACGTAAGCAGAATGATCTCAATCTCTTCTATCCACATTCACAGTGTATATACATCCTTTACAAAGAATCCATGGATCACTGATTCCCAAGTTAGGAATGTATACTCAACTCCACAGTGGTTATTCTCCTTTCAAAAACCATAAATTAGATTTGGTAACTAGTGTCTTAAAACTTTAGCTCTAGGATAAACATTTAATGAGACTTGCTGAGGTAGCTGAAGGTGATTCATCCATAGGTGATCCATCTGCAGTTCTACTGTCTGTTCCAAGCCAGATTATATTGATTTTGTTTTGTTTTATCCTGCTGGGGATTGAACACAGGGCTCTGCACATGCTAGGAAAACTGTCTACCTCTGGAGCTATTCCCCACCCCAACCCAGCATATGTTTAAGACTGAAAGAAGAGGTGGTTGCAGGCGAATATCTTTAAATAATTCTTTTTATCCTAATGCCACATTACTGTAAAATGTTAGATTTACTGTTATTCTAAATTACATATTAGTAATCTGTTTTCTTGCCTTGAATAAGATGAATGTTGCCCACTTAAAATTTAGAAGTAAATCTTGGACTGCAATTAGTTTCACATTTTCTTGCTCATCCCTTTCCATTATTACCCTATTAAATTGATTACTATTGTCTTGAGTTGAATTAGATCACACTTTTCCAGAATTGTAGAGCATAATCCTTATCACCAAATATTTCTTAGATCTGTGAAGGTTTAGTTAGAAGCATCCCTTTCCCTCTAGAAGGAAAGGTTCAGTTAGAAACAGCCCTTTCCCTCTAGAAGGTTATGTTTTAGTAAGAAGATAAGCCAAGTAAGAAAACAAAGAGCATTTCAGTTGTATATGTATGTGAATGAAAACGAATAGACAAATGCCATTTAGGTATACGAATGCTTAAAACTAAGGGAATGGTTGCATTCAATAAGTGTACAATAAAAGGCTTATTAAAGTTTCCAAAGAAGTTTCAAAGTCCTGACAGAGGCATTCAAAAGGATGAAGAGGGTTATGTGGTGGAGATGCTTGTGGGCTGGGAAGCAGTACTAGGAAAGAATTAGAGGTATGATAAAAAGGAATAGACATGAGGAGCTACAGGTAAATTTTTATGAATAGAGAAAAGTGTGACAGGAGATCATAAAGGTGCACCATGGGGTCTGACCTATCTGGAAAATTAGATATTAGGAAAATCTTAATTTATAAAATTAGAGGCAAGCTTAGTATTTTCACTTTATAAGAAGCTGTGATCAGCTGTGGATGCTGTTATCCAGTTCTTTTTCAATATTCAAGCCCTGCAGCAGTCTCCTTTCTGACTAGCAGTCCTATAGGGTTCCTCAATAAAATCTTTAACGTCTGTACCCATCTTATATTTTTACTTGGAACTGTCATCATGCAAATTAAGTATTGCAATAAAGTAAGAAGTAAGATTAGTTCATTACTTCCTCCAGTTCTAAAGTAAATTATAATAATTATATGCAGAACCTTTAACCTACATCTGTTTAAAGGAAAAAATTAAGAGTCGATCTTTGCCCCTCTAGGAAGTTTTCTTTCTAGGCTTACAGATCTGGGCGTGGATTCATTCACTGCTGGGCAAGAGGAAAGCACAATGCTTCTGTTACTTGTTGTAGGATGACTCACTGGTTGTGTGGAAGGAAGTTGATTTGACCCGGCTGTCTGAGAAGGAACGTCGTGATGCCTTGAATGAGATTGTTATTCTGGCACTGCTGCAGCATGACAACATCATTGCCTACTACAATCACTTCATGGACAATACTACCCTGCTGATTGAGCTGGAATATTGTAACGGTAAGGTAGAATTCAGTGGGACTTCCTCTGCAAGTCATTCTTATTATGTTCATACTTACCTTGAGGGGAAGAGTACAAGAAAAGGCATATATAATAGTGATAAAACTTTAAATGGATTTGTAGAGTTTAAGAGAAATTGTTCAGGCTTTGGAGAGTTTTGAAGTGTTGTACAAAATAAGGGAAGGGATTTTCCCTTGAGTATTCATATTCTTCCTTGTGATTATAGTTCCATCTTCAAAATGTTTTTTCAGTTGGATATTACATTTATTTTTCAAATTTTTTCCTCATGAAATAATATTAGCCATTAGGAACATAGTGTGGTTTGGTAACACTGGATAGTTATTTTTATTGACTTTAGCTAAAGTTATCCTGTTGCAAGGTGTCTAAAGATCGTAACGGAATGACTGATTTCTTTAGATCATTTGTGTGTAAGATTTGAGTAGTGCCTGGTTAATAGGAAAATAGACAACCCATATCCCAAGTCCCTCTACTTTCTAGCTCTGTAACCTTGGACAAGAAACTTATCTCTGCCTTGGTTTCCTCAACTTAAAATGTGTTTATTGATAATCAGGCTTGGTGACACACACCTCTAATCTCAGCAGTTTGGGAGGTTAAGGCAAGAGAATCATAAATTCAAGGATGGTCTCAGCAACTTAGTGAGACCCTATTTCAAAAACAAAATGGACTGGGCATGTGGCTCAGTGGTTAAAAGCCCCTGGGTTCCAGCTATTGCCCTTCTTGGACTTTTCCCAGAAGACCTTAAAAGAGCGTACTACAGGGATACTGCTACATCGATGTTCATAGCAGCACAATTCACAATTGCTAGACTGTGGAACCAACCCAGATGCCCTTCAATAGATGAATGGATAAAAAAAATGTGGCATTTATACACCATGGAGTATTATGCAGCACTAAAAAATGACAAAATCATAGAATTTGCAGGGAAATGGATGGCACTAGAGCAGATTATGCTTAGTGAAGCTAGCCAATCCCTAAAAAACAAATACCAAATGTCTTCTTTGATATAATGAGAGCAACTAAGAACAGAGCAGGGAGGAAGAGCAGGAAGAAAAGATTAACATTAAACAGATACATGAGGTAGGATGGAAAGGGAGAGAAAAGGGAAATTGCATGGTAATGGAGGGAGACCCTCATTGTTATACAAAATTACATATAAGAGGTTGTGAGGGGAATGGGAAAATAAACAAGGAGAGATATGAATTACAGTGGATGGGGTAGAGAGAGAAGATGGGAGGGGAGGAAGGGGGGATGGTAGAGGATAGGAAAGGTAGCAGAATACAACAGTTACTAATAGGGCATTATGTAAAAATGTGGATGTGTAACCGATGTGATTCTGCAATCTGTATTTGGGGTAAAATTGGGAGTTCATAACCAACTGGAATCTAATGTATGAAATATGATATGTCAAGAGCTTTATAATGTTTTGAACAACCAATAAAAAAAATTAAAAAAAAAAAAATAAATAAAAATAATGGTAAGAAAAGTAAAAAAAAAAAAAAAAAAAAGCCCCTGGGTTCAATCCCCAGTAACAACATCAAAAAAGTTTGTATCTAGCTATAGGGTTGTATTAGATCATATTTTAAAGCCCTTAGGGTAGGATTTGGTATGTAGCAAGGTTTGGTACATCCTATACAAGAGAATACCCAAAGCCCCTTTTCGAGCTGCATGCTAAAGAGGTACCAGCATATTCTTCATTTATAACTTTTCTGCCTAGACTCTGGTCTTTCACAATTGTTTCTGGTTCTGATCAACTGTAAATATAGGATATTGTAGTAGAAAATTTTTAAGTAACAGAAACCTTCTTAAGAAGTTAAGTTTCTGAACTATGTAATGTTCTGAACAACTAATAATAAAAATTAAAAAAAAAAAAGTTAAGTTTCTTTGTGGTTAGGAGGAACCAGAACAAATGATACATTTATTGAAACTCCGAATTACTAAATAGCAGGGGAAGAGAAATTATAAAAATTTACCCAGGCTAAAGTATAAGTTGCAGCCGAAAGTAAGACAAGCCAGGATTGTTTGCAATCTGTATTAGTTTATAAAAAAGTGAGAAGCAAATTAATACTTATTCCACAGGAAGAAATTCATAAAGGGAGTAATGATTGGGAACAATCTAGGAGTAAATT